TCCTGCTTCGTGCTCACTGCCTTCTCCAGCCTAGGTGGTTTGTGGCTATTATATCCTCCATTTCAAGTTCCCTTAGTGGGCAGAAAACTTAGAGCAACCGTTTGGAGTAGAGTTGTTGGTTTGGGTTTTCACTTTGTGGTGTCGATTGGATATTCTGAGCCTGAAATCTTGGTGCAAAGTTGTCTGTTATTATCTACATGGTCAATATAATTGAATTTGTGTTGGGTTTCATGTGTGTGATTGTGAAGTGTGTGTGTGTGTGTGTTAACTTGGTCTTCAATTTAAATGAATCGTGTCGATTTTTTAATAACTTTTCACAAGTTTTCATGAAAATATGCTCTCACTTCAAAAATTTTAAACATTAATCTAAGTAAGAAAAACATAGCTCATAAAGTTGGACTAGAGAAGATAACATAATGATTTAAGTAACACTTGAAAAGTTTTCGGCTTTGAAAAATTATTCGTTTAATCATAATGCAAGGTTGAGAATTATTTTTTAATTTTAAAATATGAGGATCCATAGTGCCATCCTAGAGTGTTAGTCTAAATTTGCCTTATTCCCAATCTGGATTGTAGGTATTGGAGAACAGGTTGTTTTATGTGTGTGTGTATATATATACTGTTAATATTGGTAAGTTAGGAGAGGACCTGTTTGTAATCGATAGCTTCTCAGTTTTATCTTACTTCTATTCACATATTTCATGAAACACGTCAATTTATAATTTCAAAAAACTGCGGTAATAAGGGATAAATCTAATTCTAGTCGAGCAGTTTCGTTTAGATTAAGTTGAGTAATTAGCTAATTTTGTAGAAAAAAATTAGCCTTAAAGAAATAAATGTGATCCAATTCATTTTGAATAGGGTATTGAACATTTGAGTATAACTGCCTGTATAACTCTAGAGAGGTCTTAACATGATCAAATCAGCTTAGAAGAATGAACTCAACCATATATAATATCGAGATATGATTGGAGTCGAGGTGATTAATTAGTTGGTACAATTGTCCAACTTTCCCCAATCAAACACTCAATTGGGTCAAATTAGACTATGTAAAAATAAAGAAATTTGACATTATCAATAGATAAATTGAGATTTTTTTGAGTCACGAATCTTGTTATTACAAAGTTAAAAGTTATGTTGTCTGAGCCTTTTGAGGAAAAAGTAAACATATTATAAGAGGGTATAATTTGATAAATGTATAAATTTATTTTCTTCTTAATTTAAACTTTTAAACAAAATAATAAATTAAAATTAGAAAAAACTGAATAACCTCAGCATGGAATTGTTGAAAACACAAGTAGCAGTTTGTTGCAAATTTAAAAGCAGAGGAAGAATTAACTGAAAATAATACAATACTTGAAAAGAAATAAATGAAAAGAACAGAAGGAGCTTCAACTCAGTGTAAATATATGTACGTATCTTCAAAAGATTTTTTCTTGGTTTTGTATTCTGTGTATTTGTTGTAAACCCTTGTTCTCCGACAGATTTGGGAATGGAAACCGAACATTCTTTTGGTTCTTCTATAAAAGGATCCTCCTTTTTTGAACCTATTTTAAAGGAATTCGGAAAAAAAAATTAGAAAATTTCAAAAGAAANCTTGTAAAACAAATCTTCCACTTCCCTCTCTCGAATGTCACCGGGTAGGTTGCCAACATAGAGAGTTCTGCTTGATCGACTCATTCTTCCTAATGAAATTCATATGGCATCATCAGAATAAAATAATTCAAAAATTTAAAAAAAAAAAAAAAAAGAGTTATCAAAAGTGTTTGTTTCTGCATATATAAACGGTTTAAATTATAAATAAATAGGATGTATACGTTGCTTGATTCTGAAACAGTTGAATCCTCACTAAGTTTTGTTGGAATTTTGATTCTGTTTTGAGAGAATTTGCTTTCGAGGCAGTGTGTTAAGGAAGAAATTATGGATTCAAGAGAAGCAATGAAAGAAGAGAGGCCTGAAGCAGCTGCTGGGGAGAGCTCAGTGAACAAAGAGAGAAGGCAACATGAGTTTCGCGACGGCACAACCCTCAATATCATCTTAAACAAGAACCCGAACAAACAAGGAGGAAATAAGGGGAAATGGCCGGTTGACTAGGCCATATTTTCATTTTGGCTTCTGACCATTAAAAGAACTTGTGCCCTAAAATCACAGACCACCATCATGATAAAAGAGAGATTCATTTGAAGAATTAGCACCGCTGCAAAGGAAATAATGGACAAGTTTGTTAATTTAATGATTGTGGTGTCTATGAAAATTATTTAATGTTAAAAAGTAAATTTAAAAGTATGGTTAATTAAGTAATTCTACTTAGAGCCATTTACGTAAATAATAAAAATGTGGTGTAAGAAGTAAATTTTGTGGTGGTAATATAATTATCCAAAGTTAAATTGTGAAGTTAAAGAATAAAAGTCAAAAATACCCTTTTTCATCTTGTGCAAACAGCAGAGGAAAAAGAAAAACTCTCGCAGTCGAGATGGAAATACATGAAAATGGCCTAAATAAAAGGGTGGCCTTTCCATTTTGGCCTTTGACTATTTTAATAGTAGGAACTACCTAAAATACACTCTTACATAGAATTTGCAACCAAAGCCATTATAAGAATATAGAGACTTCAATCAAGTCCCCAAAAATTTAGGGATAATTGCAGCAAAGGNACGTTGTACCCATTCTTCTAAAATATATTTATCTCTTATTTTCAGCCGCATATTTTTTAGGGATAATTGCAGCAAAGGTCCCAAACCTTTCAGATTTTTGCGCATTTTACCCTAACCTTTGATTTGTGTCAACGGAGGTCCCAAACCTTTCAAAAATATGCGCCGGAGGTCCCAAACCTTTGATCTGAAAGTCTTTTTCTTGAAAATCACACCGAGTGAAGTTTCAAAAACAGCCCATGTTGGTCCTTATCTAGATTTTCCCCCTGAAAGATAACATGAGAAATAGAAAATAGATAGAAAATTTATGTATTGCATGTCATCTGTAAGGTACACACCTAAAAGTTGAAACTTCACTCGGTGTGATTTTCAAGAAAAAGACTTTCAGATCGGAGACGGTGAATATGATTTCAATCTCAATTGTGGTTGGCGTGGCTGCTTATGGAGAGGCCAAATTTGACACATGGGGAGTGATTCTTCAATTGGGTGCTTTGGCTTTTGAGGCTACAAGGCTTGTTATGATCCAGATCTTGCTAACTTCTAAGGGAAGGAGAGTGATCGCAGTGTGCTTTTTGGGTTTTTATTTTTATTTTTTTGGTTTAGGTTTTGGTTTGATTGTGATGGTAGCATTTTGGGGATGGAGAGAGTGGGGTTGGGGAAGGAGATAGGCATGGTGCCGGGGACGGTGGCGGCCGGCTTTGGGGCGGTGGTGCTGACGGTTGGAGTGGGGTGG